TATTCATAAAAATCATTAATCCTAATAACAAAAATATCAAATTCTATGCAGAAAATCTGCACTAAATAAAATTGAAATCTCAAAATATTTTTAATAATATCATTTTGAATTAATCCTAACAGCTTCTGTATTTGATCTTGAAATTTTCCCTTAAACAGACAAAACAAATTAAACATATATATATATAAAATACATAAATTAACATGTAATGTACTTGTCCTAAAACATTGCAAGAGTGATGCTATTATAGCAAGATCATCTACCAACTACGGGATTCTGAGTTTTACCTTCTTTTGCCATGTGGAATACAAAATTTCAAAGAGGAAAGCTCTCCTTTTGGAATGCTTCTTGGCAACTTAGTAAAACTTATGACAAAATTTCCTACTTTTATAAGAAAAATGGAGGAGGAATATTAGAAGGATGGACGTGTAAACCAAGTATTCTAAGCTCTGATTTGAGAGATTCACAAATTATTTCTGACCGTTGTAGCAAGAAAGGATAGAAAGGAAGAAGTTATATGTATATATTAGAGAAAAAGATTGCTATTTTGACGAGTACGAAAGTGGGTTTGATTTCAGCAACTAGTTATCAAATTAGGGTATTTTAACAAAAAAAAAAAAAAAAAAGAAGATAGGGTGCAATTACAAAAAGTCTCAGTTTGTAGGTAAAAAGAAATCCATTAACAGGCTAAGAGAAATAAAAACTATTAAGCTAACATTCAGATAAATGTTCATCAACTTAATTAGAACACATTTTGATTAATATTTAATAAAAAGATTCTAATCTGATATTTCTATTGTCAATTGTCAATAATATGGCAATGAAAATATTACAATTCAATTAGTATTAGTAAAAATGAATATATATAGATCATAAAATAAAGACTTTAATTATTCAAATTATTAATTAATACCTATAATAATTTTAAAATGCCAGTAAATTGAAATTAACCAAAAGATAGTTCAATACGGTGATAAATTCCAATTTCCTATCAATAAATCCTATTTAATTAATCTATTATTAATAGTTTCAGGAGAGAGCTTCAGTAACAGAGATGCTGGTAATTTTTGCTTCAACAATAGTTTCAGGAGAGAGCTTCAGTAACAGAGATGCTGGTAATTTTTGCTTCAACAATCAAAGAATCATTCACTACAATCAAAGAATCAAAGATTACCATGTAATGTAAGTGCAGTAAGATGCTTTACCAACTACCTTTGCCTTCTTAGAAGGCTCTGGATTCTGGGTTCTGTCTTCCATCTGTCGTCTGCAACCCAGAAACTTCACTATTAATGCCTGTATTTGCAATTATTGGATTGATTTAAGCGGATTATGACTGTTCATCAACAGAACAGTCTAGGTATCTGTTAATTTTATTCTTACATCGGCAACATATACTACACATCTTTATAAGAAAACAATGGAAATGTCAAATATAAAAAATAAAAGTTTGAGAGCTTAAACAAGAAAATGGGAACACTCTTATTATAACAAAACTCTTTTTATAATTCAAAATAGATGGCATTTATTTATTTGTTTGTTTATTTATTGGTGACATTTGGCACCATGCTACCATTTATTTTTTATTTTCAATTATGGGAATTGGAAAAAAAATATCTATTCCATTTTATACCTGTCTCAATGAAATGTTGTAATTTACTTTTTTCTTATTATAATAATATTCTATTTTATTCATGTGATAGTGACTACCAATTACCCAAAATGTTACAAAACAAAAGTACCATACCTACTGAAATCATTTTTTTTATCATATCCAGACAACTAAAGCTAGCTCTTTCTTATCCAGACAGATAGCTAAGGTCCAAAGGCTGTCTTCCATAAAATCTCTAAACTCCAAATTAATCATTCACTTCCAATTCTCTCTCCATGGATGAACCAGCTTCACTCCATGCATCTCCTACTCAAACACCCAAAATTATAAGCATTAAAACAATTGCTATAGTTTCGAAGCCAACCATAAATATATCAAAAGAACCTTTCTATTCACATCTAGTCGGGTGAATACCTTTAAGGGAGCGCTTCAATAGCAGTGAAGGAGGGAAATTTTTGCATACAACAATCACTGTGTCATTCCTAGATTATCTCTTTGATAACATCATAAATAATATTTAAGTGGTATAATTGTAAGAATCCCCAGCCAGGAGCTGCCCGCTGAATAAACAAGCACACTTTCCCCTCGCACGATTAAACTTAAAATAATTAGAAAATTTTCTTTTTTGAAACTAAACTATGTATAGAGAGAAATTAATATGTGCTGAACGAATATAACAGCCAGTTCACCTATACGTTCGTAATGAGTTTCCAGCACCTGTCTTTTACTATCAGCTTTATATTCCTGAGTTATATTCTGAGTACACTCTTTGTCGAGGAAGAGCATTGTCAACGGTAAGCAAATGTAGGAATAATGACAGAAATTTACCCTTTGCCCTTGAATCTCCTTTTGGATATAACTCCAATATCCTGAAAATCATTACACCAATTCATTATTGAATATTAAACAATCATCTGCTAAAGCACTACAACAAGAAATCCAGAATCCTGGGCTGGTCTGTGAAGTACAAACCACTTATGTTGTGCAACAGTAAATTCCTGTGAGAACTGTTGTCTCTCTGGTAATGTTGAGAACTACTGAATCTTCCATGTATAGGTACCATTTGCTGGTTCTCTTATAACAGAAAATTTCTCCCCTTTACCTTCTTATTTGATAACATGAACTTCTGCTCCAAATGCACAACAATCATTAACAAGATACCCATTAGAAGGATCACTGAACATCTCGAGTGAGATTAGCTGATCAAAACCATTTTCAGTTTTTAAAGAATGGAAACGTCTTGCTCTATCATCTGCATTAACACGGATGAAAAAGGGAGTGGCTCTTGTCAAAGGAGCATATATGGAATCTTCTAAGAAACTTCTAAATGAGCATTTGATGACTATTAATCAAAATATAAGTTCGAGGGAAAGAAACCTTGAATGCTCAAGTACTTGTCTTGAATCTGATCATAAATAAATAATTTGAGAATCACATCAACCTGGGATCCAACAGGAATTGCATTTGCCCCTGCAATCGCTATGTAGAGAGAAATGTAGGAACTTCCCACTTTTTTCGCATTACCGCAAGGATACAATACTAGTTTCCTATATATTGCAAAAGATGGTGATTACTGAAAGACCAAATTAATGATTCGAGCCTTGAAAAATACAGTTTGAGCATTGACGGAAATTAATTACTTAACATTTGTAACCCCCTGATTCGAACTCATTAGATTCATACTTGTTAAGTACTGTCCTCTTGAGTATCTCACAAAATTTTGAGAAAGAATCGATCTTTAACGTGTAGTGAGCAGGTGGTTCATTCCTTCTTGATCTTTTAATTCCTGTGTCAACAAATGAACAAAGAGAATACTGAAGTCTAAATTTTTTTCTAGCTAAAATTGCAGTAATACATAAACCCACATATAAATATACAAACTTGAGAGAGAAAAGGGGTTTGTTTAAAAACTATAACACAAGATTTCAAGTCGGAATGATTTCATCTGCCGTAATGCATGAAGCTAAAAACTCCATCTTTTTTTTTTTTTTTTTTTTTTTTTGTTAATGCAATGAAGCTAAACTTCATCTTTTTTTTTTTTTTTTTTTTTTTTTAAATTTTCTTACAAGAAAATTTTAAAGCAGCAGCAGCAGCAAGTAAGATCAGCAAGTAAGATCTTTTACCAGGTGATTCTTCATTTTTAAATGAATAACTCTGATTTAGAGAGCGAGAGCGCTTCATAATCGCCACTGACTGGGCTCTCAATATTCGCGGCATAAGGCGTCTCTAATCTATATATGATTATTGAAAATTCCCACAACTTGATGTGGTAGATGGAAATTCAAGGCTTTATTGTTCTTTAAATTCTTGATTTGATGCATATTGATCCCTTCCGGTGCTTCTTATACCATTGTGTTGTGCGTTGGATTTTGTTCCCGAAGAGATAGGTGCATCCTTTAAATTAGGTTCTCTTACTCTGGATTTTCTTTGTTTTGTTTTACAAGTTACAACTTACTACTCAGATATTGCTAAACTGAGAGTCTGAGACATTGCCATTTTTAAAAATAAGTAAGGGAAAAACGAACTAGCGAACCAAATGGATTTGATTCAGTTCGGTTTAATATTTTACATTATCGGTTCTATTTTGGTTTTAATAGAGAAAATTGAAATTTTATCCATTTGGTCTGGTTTTTATTAAATCCAAAACAATAAATCTAAATCTATCTTAAAATAGTTAGTAATTTTAGTCCATTTGGTTAACTTTGGTTCGATTTGATTAAACCAAACTGATTGAATGCTTACCCCCCAATTAACATTCCTAAAATTACGGTTCATAGCAACATTAATTTTGGGAATCAAAACTAAACTTCTTATAACAAACAAGTTGATGAATTACCAATCATAGTTTAAGAGGTTAAGTGCAAAATAAAGTTAGAATAAAGGTATAATTTGACAACATAAATAACATTAAAAATGCGGAAAACCGCTTGAATTAAGTAAAAATGTCTGAGTCTTTTCAACTTTGACTAAATTTCATATTTTCTATCAGTACCCTTTTTTTTTTTTTTTTTTTTTTTTTCCTTTTTTTTTTTTTTTTTTTTTTTTTTGCTTTTTTCTCATATTTAATAATAAAATTTAATACAATATTATTTAAATATTAATTTATTTTGAACCATAAGATGCAATTAATTGCAAATTACTTATGAATTTTTTTTTTTTTTTTTTTTTTTTTTGCATTTTTCTCATATTTAATAATAAAATTTAATACAATATTATTTATATTATTTATTTTGACCATAGAATGCAATTAATTGCAATTACTTATCGAATTGGGGTGTTCAACGTAATAAAAAATAAGTAGGGTGCAACTGCAAATAAAAGCCTAGTTTAAATGTGCAAAAAATCCTTTGACAGGCTAGAGAAATAAACCTTAAACTAATTAAGATATATGTGAGAAACAAAAATAAAATAATAATATCCAAAATACATTTAAAAATGCCAGTAACATTAAAATAATTGAAATACATATAGTTCAGTACACTGATAAATTCCAACAACCTTTATATAAATCATATTTAATTAATCTATTATTTGTAGTTTCAGGAGATCTGAGCTTCAGCAACAGAGACTTTGGTAATTTTTGCTTCAACAACCAAAGTATCATTCACTAGAAATCCTGTTGAACGATTATTGAGATCACTCAACAGCATGAAACTTGCAAAACCCCATAAACTTTTCGACTCACTGAACCATTTCTGAACTGCAAAAAAAGAAAAAATGAAATCTTTATCAACATAGAGAATTATCAAAGAAAGAGTTACTCAAATTTAAAATTTCGCTTAATTAATTATCACCTGTACGTTCATGATGTTTCCCATACCACCGATCTCTTGCCAATAGCTTACATTCTACATATACTTGCTTTTGAGGTGATCCAATACTGCCGGGATCTAGTTTTAGATATAGCGACAGACTTCTGCCCCATTCAGTTAACACTCCTTTCGGATAGAGAGATAGATTCCTGAGTTCATTTCAATGTGTATGTATCTTAAAATCCCATAATCAACAAACAGTTGCTAATTATCGTTGCAGATAGAAAATTTTGAAGGACTAAGCACATACCAGTTATACCCTGCTACAGTAAACACTCTGGAGATATTTTCTTTAGGTTCTAATTTTGAGAAGTTGTAAATGTACCAAGTGTAAGTACCGTTTTCAGGTTCTTCTATAATCTTAAATTTCTCCCTTTTACTCGCAGCAAATTTAAGAACATGAACCGCAACCCCAAAGACACAGCAATCATCAACAAGATATCCATTAGACGAGTCATTGAAAGTTGCGAGAGGGAGTAATTGGTCAAAACCATGTTCAGTTTTTAAGGAATGGTAACGCTTTACTTTACCATCTGCATAGATATGCATGGCATATTCATTAGATAAAGAGCTCAGAGGTTGAATATCTGCCTAGTGGCCATCGCTAAAGGATAGAAAACGAACTATATATAAAATATAAATTAACATATATACCTTCAATACTCAGGTACTGTTCTCGAATGTGATCATAAACAGACAATTTAAGGGTGACATCAACCTGAGTCCCCTTAAGAACTGCATCTGTTTCAACCATTGCCAAGTAGAGAGAGATGTGACCAATCAACCTGAGTCCCCTTAAGAACTGCATCTGTTTCAACCATTGCCAAGTAGAGAGAGATGTGACCATCACCATTTTTTTTCGTATTTCCATATGGATACATCAATAATTTCCTGTCACATTTAATCGGTTCATTAGGTTCTGATAGAAAATTCAACTTTCAGCTTCATAGGACATGTAGATGACCTGACGGATGGAGGATTTAGATAAAGGGGATGAAAATATAGTCTTAAATTTGTTATAATATTTTTGGGATTCAGACTGCTCATACGATTGCTCAAGCATCTGTTTTTGTGCTTGATTTCGAATGGGGTACGCCCTCTTCCTTTTCTGCATGAGGGTCCTATCTTTTGATTCCAATAATATGAGCTGAACTAGCTTACCTTTTCAAAAAATAAAAAACCCTCATATCAAATATACTGAAAATAAAATTTTGAAAATTGAATGAGGACGGAGGCTCCTGCCAGCCCTTCCTTGTGTCCGCGGGGTAATGAGGCAAAAACTCATAATTCCGAAGAATTATTTTTGTTAAATAGTACTTGACATATACGTTAAAAAGAGAAAGAAAGGATTAACATTAACATATATATATATATATATACCATTTGTAACCGCCAACGTCAAAAACTCCAGACTCATACTTATCAACTCCAGTCTTTTTCAGAGCTTCAGACAATTGGGAGAATGACTCAATCTTCAATGTATAGTGAGCAGGTGACGCTTCTGTATATGATCTTGAAATTTTCCCTTAAACAGACAAAACAAATTAAACTTATATATATAATACGTAAATTAACATGTAATGTACTTGTCCTTAAACATTGCAAGAGTGATGCTATTATAGCAAGATCCTCTACCAACTACGGGATTCTGAGTTTTACCTTCTTTTGCCATGTGGAATACAAAATTTCAAAGAGGAAAGCTCTCCTTTTGGAATGCTTCTTGGCAACTTAGTAAAACTTATGAAAAAATTTCCTACTTTTATAAGAATAATGGAGGAGGAATATTAGAAGGATGGACGCGTAAACCAAGTATTCTAAGCTCTGATTTGAGAGATTCACAAATTATTTCTAACCGTTGTAGCAAGGATAGAAAGGAAGAAGTTATATGTATATATTAGAGAAAAAGATTGCTATTTTGACAAGTACGAAAGTGGGTTTGATTTCAGCATTTCACCGTTTTAGCTCTGATATATATTTTTTATGGAGAGCAAGAAATTGTGGCCATGAAACTTTAAATTTATGCTTATATGCATTGTGCCTGGAGATGACCAAATTGAATAGAATCTCAATTGGAATTGTTGGTAATTGTCAATTGGAAAAACAAATTATTTTATTTTAAAATGTTATTATATATGATCTAATTTTGACCATAGGATACAAGTGCAACTAGTTATCAAATTAGGGTATTTTAACATAAAAAAAAAAAAAAAGGTAGGGTACAATTACAAAAAGCCTCAGTTTGTAGGTAAAAAGAAATCCATTAACAGGCTAAGTGAAATAAAAACTATTAAGCTAACATTCAGATAAATGTTCATCAGCTTAATTAGAACACATTTTGATTAGTATTTAATAAAAAAGATTCTAATCTGATATTTCTATTGTCAATAATATGGCAATGAAAACATTACAATTCAATTCGTATTAGTAAAAATGAATATATATAGATCATAAAATAAAGACTTTAATTATGCAAAATATTAATTAATACCTATAATAATTTAAAAATGCCAGTAAATTGAAATTAACCAAAAGATAGTTCAATACGAAAATGCCAGTAAATTGAAATTAACCAAAAGATAGTTCAATACGGTGATAAATTCCAATTTCCTATCAATAAATCCTATTTAATTAATCTATTATTAATAGTTTCAGGAGAGAGCTTCAGTAACAGAGATGCTGGTAATTTTTGCTTCAACAATCAAAGAATCATTCACTACAATCAAAGAATCAAAGGTTAACATGTAATGTAAGTGCAGTAAGATGCTTTACCAACTACTATTGCCTTCTTAGAAGGCTCTGGATTCTGAGTTCTGTCTTCCATCTGTCGTCTGCAACCCAGAAACTTCATTATTAATGCCTTCCAATATTATACCTTTAATGTACTTTGATGTAATTAATATTTGCAATCATTTGGATAGATATAAGCGAATTATGACTGTTCATCAAGAGAACAGTCTAGGTATCTGTTAATTTTATTCTTACATTGGCAACATATACTACACATCTTTATAAGAAGAAAATGGAAATCTCAAATATAAAAAATAAAAGTTTGAGAGCTTAAACATGAAAATGGGAACACTCTTATTATAACTAAACTCTTTTATAATTCAAAATAGATGACATTTATTTATTTGTTTGTTTATTTATTGGTGACATTTTGCACCATGCTACCATTTATTTTTTGTTTTCAATTATGGGAATTGGAAAAAAAATATCTATTCCATTTTATACCTGTCTCAATGAAATGTTGTAATTTACTTTTTTCTTATATAATAATATTCTATTTTATTCATGTGATAGTTCCATGTGATAGTGACTACCAAATTAGCCCAAAATGTCACAAAAACAAAAGTACCATACCTACTGAAATCTTCGTTTTTTTTTTTTTTTTTTTTTTTTTTTTTTTTTTTTTTTTTTTTTTTTTTTTTTTTTTTTTTTTTTGCATATCCAGACAGCTAGGCTTCTCCTTATCCCAGACAGATAGCTAAGGTCCTTAAGGCCTGTCTTCCATAAAAATCTCTAAACATCCAAAATTATCATTCACTTCCAATTCTCTCTCCATGGATGAACCAAGCCTTCACTCCATGCATCTCCCTAACTCAAATACCAAATGTATAAGCATTAAAACAATGTGCTGAATCACCTTGGTTCTTACGCTCTATCTCTCGCATCGACAGGGTAACGGACCTTCACTCCTAATCTCGCTCAATTGACCTGGTCTTACCTCTATCCCCATCACATACACCTTCACTCCTAATCCCCATGATCAAGTAGTTTCAGAGACAGACGAGTCACTCCCTGTTATAGATTACTCTCTTCTTACTTCAGGCACTCCTGATCAACGGTCCAAAATCATTGATCACCTTGGTAAAGCCTGCCAGGACTGGGGATTCTTCATGGTATGATCATTTGCAACTTGTTACAATTAATTCTTTATGTCATTCACATTTATATAAAACTTTGATCAATATGATATTCAGGTGATCAATCATGGAGTGCCAGAGAGCTTAATGGGATCACTGATAGATACGTGTAGAGGATTCTTTGATCTTCCTGAGGAGGAGAAAGAAGAGTACAGAGGGAAACATGTTTTGGACCCAATAAGATGTGGCACTAGCTTTAATGCTTCCACAGAGAAGGTTTTCTTTTGGAAGGATTTTCTCAAGATTCTTTCACATCCTGTGTTTCACTCTCCAAGTAAACCTGCTGGGTTCAGGTAATTAAACAGCTTTACCTGAAATTTTACTGCTGTAGTAAAAAGATAACACAATTCTGAATTGTATCGCAAAATTTCACCTATAGTCTGTGAATTCTTGGAACGTTTTTGTAACAACAAAAGAATCTCATTCTCTTTGTCAATTAGAATTTTGGATAAACCAGTAGTTGAAAGGCCAAAAACATGTTATTTCTTGTGTTTGACATTGCTAATGCAGAGAGACTTCATTAGAGTACTCAAAAAAGGCAAGAGAAGTAGCAAGAGAGTTGCTAAAAGGAATATCAGAGAACTTGGGATTGGAAGCTAATTATATAGAAAAGGCATTGAACTTGGAAACAGGTCTACAAGTAATGGCAGCAAATTTTTATCCACCCTGTCCACAGCCAGAACTTGCAATGGGCATGCCTCCTCATTCTGATCATGGCCTCTTAACCTTTCTAATACATAATGGAATTAGTGGCCTTCAAGTACAACACAAAGGGAAGTGGGTCAACATTAATGGCACCCCTAATTCCATTCTTGTTAACGTTGGAGACCATCTCGAGGTATATTACCCATTCTTGTAATACCCTTTAATTCGTTTTTCTTCTATCTTAACCAGAACTTGAAACGTTAAATCCTTTTTCTTTTTTAATCTTCTTGCAGATAGTGAGTAATGGAAAGTACAAGAGTGTTCTGCACAGAGCAGTTGTGAACAACAAAGTAACAAGAATATCCATAGCAACAGTACAAGGACCATCACTTGATTCAGTGGTTAGTCCAGCACCAGAATTGCTAGACAGTGAAAGGAATGCGCCGAACTATTTTGGCATCAAATATAAAGAATACCTGGAACTTCAGCAAAGCAGCAATCTTGATGGGAAATGCAACTTGGATCGAGTTCGAATTCGAGCAGTGTAAATAATTAATATACTTTCAGATGATCTCTATGTGCAACAAATTACTCAATTTATAACATGTTGGTGGATTGAGAGTTTAAATTCCACCTATATTATGCTGTTGGTAGCATATCTACATACGTTTTATAGCTATTTACATTCTACAATAAGGTGCAGAGTAAATCCTTCCCCACATGCATGACCGGGCTATAAATAAGTCAAACTGCAAGTGAGCTCTTCAATAAAAACTCGTTCAATAAGATTAACGAGTCCAGTTTCTGCATGTTTATTGAGGTCATTTAATAAATAAGCTGAGCCGCAATCAAGCTCAGGCCTCTGGAGGGGCAATTTTTTTTTTTTTAAACTATAAATTGTAAAGAGTACCAAAATTTTAAATAATTTTACTTATGATTTAGGTGGACATGCACTTTTCCATCTCTACATTTTTTTTAAAGATTACATCTCTACATTTGTTTAAATCACTGTCCTCTTAACTACCATGCGACTTGTAATTTAGCAGAAAACAATAACATTATTAACATAAGTTATGCGATTGTCATCAAACGCCGTCATTTGGAGGAGAGGCCAGGTACTACTCTGAAACGACTTGCCTTTCATTACTATAATTACGCTTTTAACAAAATATGATCCTCACTGACCTCCAAAACTGGGATTAAAGGTTTCCCTCTGATGTAGATTTAGAACACTCATAGACATCTGGTTCTTAACATGATGTCCAGATGGAAGTTATTGGTGTTTCACATATCATGTTTCTAGAGCTAACAAATTTTTCGGGCATTGAACAACTGTCCAACCTACGCGCAATTATCTATTATATTATTAAGCCTGTGGGCATATCATGCTATTTCTATTGTCAATTATCAATAATATGGCAATGAAAATATTACAATTCAATTAGTATTAGTCAAAATGAATATATATATATAGATCATAAAATAAAGACTTTAATTATGCAAAATATTAATTAATAGCTATAATAATTTTAAAATGCCAGTAAATTGAAATTAACCAAAAGATAGTTCAATACGGTGATAAGTTCCAATTTCCTATCAATAAATCCTATTTAATTAATCTATTATTAATAGTTTCAGGAGAGAGCTTCAGTGACAGAGATGCTGGTAATTTTTGCTTCAACATACGGTGATAAGTTCCAATTTCCTATCAATAAATCCTATTTAATTAATCTATTATTAATAGTTTCAGGAGAGAGCTTCAGTGACAGAGATGCTGGTAATTTTTGCTTCAACAATCAAAGAATCATTCACTGCAAATCCCTTCAAAGGATCATGGAGATAACTCAACGGCGTGAAACTTCGAAAACCCCAATTAATTCCCAAGTATTTAAAAAACTTGTAAACTGCCAAAAAAAAAAAAAAAAATCAAATCTTTATCAAAATAGAGATTATCAAAGAAAGAACTGTACAAATAAAAATTTCCCTAATTAATTATATCACCTGTACGTTCATGATGATTCTTATTGACTTGAGCTTTTACCAGTAGCTTATATTCTACATATACTTGTTGAGGTAATCCAGAACTGCAGGCATCTAGTTCTAGAAATAGAGACAGACTTCTATCCTTCTCATTCAGCTCTCCCTTGGGATAGAGCAATATTTTCCTGTGTTCATTTCAGTGTGTAGATATATACACACACACACACAAATGCACATCAAAATCCCATAATCAACAACAATCAATTGCTAATTAATTCATACAATTGTTGGAACGACTATAACGACGTACCATATATACCCTCAACAGTAAACACTGGAGAATGTGACCTTTCGGTTCTAATGTTGAGAACTTGTCAATCTTCCAAGTGTAAGTACTATTTTAAGGTTCTGCTATAATCTTAATTTTCTCGCCTTTACTCCCAGCAAATTTAAGAACATGAACCTCAACTCCGAGTACACAGCAATCGTCAACAAGATAACCATTAGACGGATCTTCGAAAGTTGTGAGAGGGAGTAATTGGTCAAAACCATGCTCAGTTTTCAAATAATGGTAATTCTTTACTTTCCCTTCTGCACATACACGGCATTTTGTTTTATAAATAGCTCAGCTGTTGAATATTTGCCTCGTCGCCACCACTAATAATTAGAAAAAGAGCTCAGAAGAATAATATAAAGTAAAATATGTACCTTCAATAGTCAAGTACTCATCTCGAATATGATCATAAACAAAGAATTTGAGGGTGACATCAACCTGATTCCCCTTAAGAGCTGCTTCCGTTTCTACCATTGCCAAGTAGAGAGAGATGTGACCATAACCATTTTTTGTCGTATCTCCATTCGGATACTTCATTAATTTCCTGTTACGTTTAATTAGTTAATTAGGTACTAATTGAAATGTAGAACTTTACTACCCAAATGGACCAGAAGCAAAGCACATAATTTGGAAGAATTATTTTTGCTAAATAGTAATGGCATATATTATTTTTGCTAAATAGGTAATGGCCCATATATATATATATATATATATATATATATATTATTATAACCAGATAAACCAGAAAAAGAAAAAGAAAGGATTAACATAAAATATGTATATATATAAATACCATTTGTAACCGCCAAGTTCAAAAACTCCAGATTCATGCTTGTCAAATTTAGCCTTCTTCATAATTTCAGGCAACTCATAGAAAGACTCAATCTTCAATGCATAGTGAGCAGGTGGTGCTTCTCTGTTTGATCTTGAAATTTTCCCTTAAAACAAACAAAAGAAGACTAACATGACATACATAGATTAACATGTAATGTAAGTGCAGTAAGATGCTTTGCCAACTACTTTTGCCTTCTTATAAGGCTCTGGATTCTGAGTTCTGTCTTCCATCTGTCGTCTGCAACCCAGAAAGTTGACTACTAAATAAAAAAATATACTTAACAATGATTCTAATGGTAATCTCTCCAAAAATAAATCAAACATAACACCACAAAACAACTCACAACTTCAAAGAAGAGAGCAACTTTCTTTTATTATGACGATATGTTTATATATAATTGGATCCATCATCGACTCTAGATTTTCTGATTAATTATCATGAAAAACCCTTTGGCGTCCCATGCATGCTTTTCGATACAGAAGTAATTAAAATGAGCGCAAACTATCTCTTAGAAAACTGAAATAAATTAGAATTACCAATGAGACAATATTTTCTTTTTTTTTTTTTTTTTTTTTTTTTTTTTTTTTTTTTTTTTTTTTTTTCCATTAGACATACGCATCTTTATAAGACAAAAATGGAAGTCTCAAATATAAAAAGTAAAAGTTTGAGAGCTTAAACATGAAAATGGGAACACTCTTATTTTAACTAAACTCTTTTTATAATTCAAAATAGATGGCATTTATTTGATTGTTTGTTTATTTATTTATTGGTGACATTTTGCACCGTACTACCATTTATTTTTTATTTTCAATTATGGGAATTGGAAAAAAAAAAGAATTTGTTCCATACTTCCATTTTATACCTGTCTCAATCAAATGTTGTAATTTACTTTTTTCTTATATAATAATATTCTATTTTATTCATGTGATAGTGACTACCAATTACCCAAAATGTTACAAAACAAAAGTACCATACCTACTGAAATCATTTTTTTTATCATATCCAGACAACTAAAGCTAGCTCTTTCTTATCCAGACAGATAGCTAAGGTCCAAAGGCTGTCTTCCATAAAATCTCTAAACTCCAAATTAATCATTCACTTCCAATTCTCTCTCCATGGATGAACCAGCTTCACTCCATGCATCTCCTACTCAAACACCCAAAATTATAAGCATTAAAACAATTGCCACCAAAAATTATAAGCATTAAACAATTGCTGAATTTAACCTGGTCTTACCTCTTTATCCCCATCCCACATACACACCTTTCAGACTTCCTATCCCCATGATCAAGTAGTTTCAGAAGACAGACGAGTCACTCCCTGTTATAGATTACTCTCTCTTACTCTCAGGTACTTGATCAAAGCTGTTCAGCTTCACTCCATGCATCTCCTACTCAAACACCCAAAATTATAAGCATTAAAACAATTGCTGAATTACCTGGTCTTACCTCTATCCCCATCACATACACCTTCACTCCTAATCCCCATGATCAAGTAGTTTCAGAGACAGACGAGTCACTCCCTGTTATAGATTACTCTCTTCTTACTTCAGGTACTCCTGATCAACGTTCCAAAATCAATGATCACCTTGGTAAAGCCTGCCAGGAATGGGGATTCTTCATGGTATGATCATATGCAACTTGTTACAATTAATTCTTTATGTCATTCACATTTATATAAAACTTTGATCAATATGATATTCAGGTGATCAATCATGGAGTGCCAGAGAGCTTAATGAGATCAATGATAGATAAGTGTAGAGGATTCTTTGATCTTCCTGAGGAGGAGAAAGAAGAGTACAGAGGGAAACATGTTTTGGACCCAATAAGATGTGGCACTAGCTTTAATGCTTCCGTAGAGAAGGTTTTCTTTTGGAAGGATTTTCTCAAGATTCTTTCACATACTGTGTTTCATTCTCCAAGTAAACCTGCTGGGTTCAGGTAATTAAACAGCTTTACCTGAAATTTTACTGCTGTAATAAAAAGATAACACAATTCTGAATTGTATGGCGAAGTTCACCTATAGTCTGTATTCTTGGAATGTTTTTGAAACAACAAAAGAATCTCATTCGCTTTGTCAATTAGAATTTTGGATAAACCAGTAGTTGAAAGGCCAAAAACATGTCGTTTCTTGTGTTTGACATTGCTAATGCAGAGAGACTTCATTAGCGTACTCGAAAAAGGCGAGAGAAGTAGCAAGAGAGTTGCTAAAAGGAATATCAGAGAGCTTGGGATTAGAAGCTAATTATATAGAAAAGGCATTGAACTTGGAAAAAGGTCTACAACTAATCGCAGCGAGTTTTTATCCGCCCTGTCCACAGCCAGAACTTGCAATGGGCATGCCTTCTCATTCTGATCAAGGCCTCTTAACCTTTCTAATACATAATGGAATTAGTGGCCTTCAAGTACAACACAGAGAAGTGGGTCAACATTAATGGCACCCCTAACTCCATTCTTGTTAACGTTGGAGACCATCTCGAGGTATATTACCCATTCTTGTAATACCCTTTAATTCGTTTTTCTTGTATCTTAACCAGAACTTGAAACGTTGAATCCTTTTCTTTTTTAATCTTCTTGCAGATAGTGAGTAATGGAAAGTACAAGAGTGTTCTGCACAGAGCAGTTGTGAACAATAAAGCAACAAGAATATCCATAGCAACAGTACAAGGACCATCACTTGATTCAGTGGTAAGTCCAGCACCAGAATTGCTAGACAGTGAAAGCAATGCGCCGAACTACTTCGGCATCAAATATAAAGAATACCTGGAACTTCATCAAAGCAGCAATCTTGATGGGAAATGCAACTTGGATCGAGTTCGAATTTGAGCAGTGTAAATAATTAATATACTTTCAGATGACCTCTATGTACAACAAATTACTCACTTTATGACATGTTGGTGGATTGAGAGTTTAAATTCCACCTATATTATGCTGTTGGTAGCATATCTACATACGTGTTATAGATATTTACATTCTACAATAAGGTGCAGAGTAAATCCTTCCCCACATGCATGACCGGGCTATAAATAAGTCAAACTGCAAGTGAGCTCTTCAATAAAAACTCGTTCAATAAGATTAACGAGTCCAGTTTCTGCATGTTTACTGAGGTCATTTAATAAATAAGCTGAGCCGCAATCAAGCTCAAGCCTCTACATTGTTTATTGATTACATCTCTACATTTGTTTAAATCACTGTCCTCTTAACTACCATGCGACTTGTAATTTAGCAGAAAACAACAACATTATTAACATAAGTTGTGCGATTGTCATCAAGTTTACACGCCGTCTGGAGGAGAGGTCAGGTACTACTCTGAAACGACTTGCCTTTCATTACTATAATTACGCTTTTAACAAAATATAATCCTCGCTGACCTCCAAAACTGGGATTAAAAGTTTCCCTCTGATGTAGATTTAGAGAACTAAAAGACGTCTGATTCTGAAGATGATGTCGAGACGGAAATTATTGGTGTTTCACATATCATGTTTCTAGAGCTAACAAATTTTTCGGGCATTGAACAACTGTCCAACCTACGCGCAATTATCTATTATATTATTAAGCCTGTGTGATCATGTTGTAATGGGAAGAAAGATTAGTTCATTATGTTGTTGTGGTAACTGGGCAAGAATCTCTGCTTATTTGGTCACGAACTGAAGGCAAAGTAGGTTTTTTGCGAGATGGAAATGGGGTCATTCAGTGATGCGTATGATATGTTTGTTAAAATGCCTACTGGAACATGAAATTTTGTTCTGCAAATTTGGAAAAAATTTTGATGGTTACAAACATCATACTTGTTCAATTTGGTGGTTGCAAAAAGCGATGGCTTAATGAATGAAATTGCAATGAGGTTTCATTCGTATTTTCTGGTGAAATATTTTGGTTATGACATTTGGAGCAAACGGTCTAAAGGGGTACATTTTAAGTTGCTGGAAAGCGTGGAGTCCTTTACTATATGACAAAGATCAGGAAAGAAACCAATTTTATTTAAAGTGGAAATTACAAGGAAGAGAATTAGCAGTTTGGGAAGAGGTATAGGAACCATACTTAAAATAAATAAAAAAAATTTAATAAATCAAAGCTTACTTGTAGAAACATCATACGTGTAGAAGTCAATTCATGAGTTTCCAATGCATCTTACTCCTGCTAAAGCACATTGGATGACTTAGCTCAATTCAGCTGTGCATTTGACTATTGTTAGTTTTTTTTTGGAAGTTTCCTACTTTTATTTCATATAATCTTATTTCTGATTCAGAATATGCAGATTATTTTCCTTTCATATCACATGGTAATGCATCTTTCCAAATTGAAATATTGCATGATTTTCTAATCAAATGGTAAAGAAAAAATAGATTTTAGATTTTGGGTCTGCTGAAGCATATGTTGAAACTTCAACTCATTATAATATACATTAGTACAGATCAAATGATAGTGAATTCTATATCTTATAAAATTTTCCATTTGGAATCTCAAGTTTTATCCAATTTGCTCTCGCTGCATTTACTATAAATATAGCTTTGACTGCACATATATTAGTTTTTAAATAAACATCACATCTGTAATTTGCCTTTTGTTGTTAGTTTCAAACTAGGAAATTTCATTACGAGTTCCAGTTCCCTGGTCAACTCCTGTAGTATAAATAATCACATTATAAATTTTTTATCCAAACCGCCAACATTTTTTTTCCTATATAATGGACCATTCTTTCCTTAAGAATCCAAACCTCTCACTCTCAGCTCTCTCTCTCTCTCTCTCTCTCTCTCTCTCTCCATGGCTGGAACTGCTTCACTGGTTCCCTCACAAGAATCTTCTGCTAAACCACCCAAGATAACGAGCATCAAAGTACTAGCGGAGTCACCTGGCCTCACCACCATCCCAGCCAGTTACACCTTCACCCTCGATCCCCATGAACAAGTAACTTCTGATGCAGAAGAGCCAATTCCCATCATTGATTACTCTCTCCTTATTTCAAATAATCCCGATCAACGATCCAAAATCATTCATGAACTTGGCAAAGCCTGTCAGGACTGGGGTTTCTTCATGGTATAATTGTTTTTAGTAATCATTCATTTTTCTTTAGTTTAATTTTTTTTCTCGCGTTTGCATGAACTATTTGGAACTTTAATGCAAGGTTGTCAATCATGGAGTTCCAGAGAGAGTAATGGAATCAATAATAGATGCATGTGATGGATTTTTCAATCTGCCAGAGGAGGAGAAGCAGGAGTATGAAGGGAAGCATGTGTTGGACCCTATAAGGTGTGGCACCAGCTTTAATACTGCCGTGGAGAAGGTCTTTTCTTGGAGAGATTTTCTTAAGGTCTTTGTGCATCCTGTTTTTCACTCCCCAAGCAAACCTGCAGGGTTTAGGTAAATATTGAAAATTTCTTCTCTTCTTAATAGCCTTGCCAGACAGGAGAAGTACATATTAGAATTGCTTTTTACAAACAGGAGGAACTTGAAATTTATTTAAGCTGGAGATAAATAATTCTTTGTAACATCATTCAGGACTAACATGTGGATGAAGTAGTGGCGATGAAATTGTCTCATGGGCTTTGAATTGAGTTGGAACCTCATCAAAGCCTAACTAAGGAATTTTTTTTTTTTTTTAAAAATGCAGATGAAACCTAACCATAAATTTTTTAATATTTTTGTTGTTGGATGATGTATACCTTATTGTAAAATTGTGATGGCCTCCTTCTAATCTTATTTGTTTATTTACATGCATGTATAACTTTTCTGATCAATGATTGATATCCACTTGGAATGTGGTTTACGAGTTAAAGTGGCTATTTCTCAACTCTACCAAGTTTCAACAGCTTTACTTTCCCTAGTCTTATAAAAAAAATGTAAAATTTAAACTTTTAGAGCACTAGAATAACTACTTCTACTTTATAGAGGGCCAATTCTAATTCTTTAGTTATTGGCTTGTTGCTTTAACTTTATTGATGTAGTGAGAGTTTATCTGAGTACTCCAAAAGAACAAGGGAAGTAGCTAGAGAATTACTTAAAGGAATATCAGAGAGCCTAGGATTGGAGGCTGATTATATAGACAAAGCATTGAATTTGGAGCAAGGTCATCAGGTCAATGTAGCGAACTTCTATCCACCTTGTGCACAGCCGGAACTTGCAATGGGCTTGCCTTCTCATTCAGATCATGGCCTCTTGACCCTACTTATTGAAAATGGAGTTAGTGGCCTTCAGGTGCAACACAAAGGAAAGTGGGTCAACTTAAATTCCTTCCCCAGTTCCTTTCTGGTTAACACTGGTGATCATCTTCAGGTACATTTGGAGCCTTACATTCTAAATTTCCTATCCCTTATCTTAGAGTTGAACTATTACTCTTGTTTGACATAACATAAATGAATTTGTAGTATAAGATTAAATTTTAAGTGATAAAGTTTCGTTCACATATATTGACTTCCACAGAATTGAATATCTGGAAGTGAAATGAACATTTTTCTTTCGAGTGAAACATAAAAACATGAAATTGATTCATTTTCTTATGCTCGTTGCTGTTTGTTTAAACATCTTGTTATTTGGTATAGATTTTGAGTAATGGAAAGTACAAGAGCGTTCTACATAGAGCAATTGTGAACAACAAAACTACAAGGATATCCATAGCCATGCAACATGGACCATCACTAGAGTCTGTCGTTAGTCCAGCACCGGAGTTATTAGACCGTGAAAATGCTGAACCAGCATATATTGGCATCAAATACAAGGAATATCTGGAACTTCAACAAAGCAACAAGCTAGATGGAAGGTCTTGCTTAGATCGAATACGAATTTGAGCAGTTTTAATTACAATTTCTATATGTCTAGTCACTAAAACATTGAAACCTCATGGTGTTAAGACAAAAGGCATCGCATTTGGTGATCCATTAGTTAAGCATCTGCCTATAATATTGACATCTTTGTTTTTTTTTTTTTTTTTTTTTTTTTTTTTTGAACCTCATGGTGTTAAGACAAAAGGCATCGTCATTTGGTGATCCATTAACAGTTTAAAGCATGCTGCCTTATAATATTTGACATCTTTGTTTTTTTTTTTTTTTTTTTTTTTTTTTTTTTTTTTTTTTTTTTTTTTTTTTTTGACATGGACATCTTTGTTATATTGCCTATATGTAATGTTCTATATAATAAAACACAATCATGTTGCATGTTTCAATGGGCAGAATTCTTCTACCGGCAGAGAATTACCTCGTCAAGTTGCACTAAATTGTCAAAATTATCTCAAGATTACTTTTTGACAATTCTGATGCAAGATTTTTCAACCAAATTGTCGATGCACATAACATTATTTGTGGTATGGATATAAGTTGAATGTGTTCCTCAATAACTTTTGATGGTCAAAATGTTACACGCTATTTTTTTATAATATTCGATAATATAGTGTATGAACTAGCTTAAATATTAAAATAATATTTTATAAAAAGTTAACTTTTAGCGTTTTTATTCAGACAGCTAATAGTTACCAAAACAGCTAATTTAATTTTATTTAACGGATGCAATAACTCATTTCTACTGTGTTAAAATATCCCCTTAAAAATGTGTTTTTGTCTTGCTTGGTTGATAGCCAGTCTGAGGTACACGGGACTGAGGGTTCGGGGTTCAATATCAACTACGGCCATTTAATAAAAATGAATCTATCATTTGCGGTCTAATGGGTTTAAGAATTCGGAGTTGTATTTGTAGCTCACTAGTTTGTGCTCCCAAGTTCCTATAATAGGCACAGTTAATAAACTCGAACAGGACCAGCAGTTTGACCCAGAAAATCGAGGAACAGGATGCTTTTGAACCATTCAACAAAGTGAATCAAAATGAACCGGTTGGATTATGGTTGAACCAGTCGATACAGACTGATTTGATTAGATAGTTCAGTTCCTTGATAATTATAATTTTAAATTATAATTAATATTTATTAATATTTTTATAACACGCTGATTTAATTATTAACTGCTAGTTAAACTAGTGACCCATCGTTATCCTCCCAAATTAATATTATGGTAATAGGTGTAATTTGAATTCTATAACAAATATTTTTACAACTCTTTGGGAAAAAAAAAAACGGCAAATATCAAAACCACTTAATTACATGTAAGATCACGTTTTGGTTTCAAAATGGAATCAAATTAAATTGAATCGGTCAAAATCGATACCGAATCTTGATCAATAGTTTTTGGTTCCAGGGCATCGCTAAAATTGTACAGTGAAGATTAGATTTCAGTTTTGAAAATTAGAACCATTAATTTTGATTTAAAACCGGTAGTTTCAATTTAAAACCATAAAAAATACACTTTTAAAGAAACTTTCAATTTATTTTTTTTTATTTTATTATAATTTTTTAATTTTTGATTAAACTAATTTCAATTTTTCAATGATAATACTTAGTATTATTATTATTTATTTAAGCAATACGTCTGAAAAATAATTTTAAAAAATTTAAAATAAATTAATTAATTTCAATTAAAATCAAAGTAAAAATGAAATCAGTGGTTGCAAAAATATTTTAAAAACCGTTAAAAAGTAATTCAATTTCAATTTCATCCTTTTTATAACACGAAAAATAAGTGGTTTTAAAACTAAAATCGGGGTCGCGGTCATACCTACTTAAGTATCACATTGAAGGGACAGCATAGCTTCACCAAGGCCATCATGGGCTTTATGACCCATGGCTTAACTCAACTCTACCGTTGACAAGAACACAGCAAAGAAAGAAAAATAAAAGAATTCCATAGCCCAACCATGATAACTACTCACTACTGAAGCTATACTGTCCACGTTACAGTGCCACAAAGAGTCGCCCTCCTCTAAACACAATACGCGTCTCAGGACAACCTTCAGGATCTTCGGTTATAGCTGCTTCTTCCTATTTTCAATATTCCATACATATTCAAGGAACTGACTTTTGGGTCTTATTTTTTACGCCATATCTTGTTTTAGATAAAAGTCACCTGCTTTCTGCTTTGAAGGAATTTGGTATTTTGTCCACATTTTTCAATTATGATATGACTGATGCTATTCCTTTCTATAGCCTAATAGCCACCACATAATTTTGTGGGATTGTCATGTATCATTTCAAGGTTTGAAAAATTTCTAGCAAAGCAACATTCCTTCATTCCTTCCTCTCTCTCTTGGAAATGGGTTTTTAGTTTTTAGGTTGTTCTTATCTCTTGGGTTGTTCTTTGATTTTGTTGTTGTGGCTGCTAATTGAGGATATCTTGCTCTCTACATATTGAATTATAATCCCTAGAGAGGTAATTCTACAATTATTTAATTGTACAATCGCTTGCCATTATTGTTTATTAATTATTGTGCTTTTGGGGTTGTTATCCAGTGTTGGAGTGTCTGTCCATTAGTGTATGAGGTTAGTGTACCAAGAAATTGTTTATTCTTATAACAGTTGACTATTAGTTTTAGATTTTAGATTTCTTAACTCTCTTGTCACTCTATCTGTTAGCAATAGTAATCAATAAATAGTAAATTTGGATGTGTAAATGAAGTTTTATTTGTCTGAAATCCAAAGAGGGATTGCATTCAGTTATAATCTTATGTGATGATTACATTAAGATTTGAGATGGCTGCATGAGCTCTATAGATTTTAAATTTATTATTATTATTATTATTATTATATTAAGATTTGAGATGAGTCTATTATCTAATGGCATTCAAGTTTCGAAGTCTATTCTGCTTTTAGGAATTTGTTTAATAATTAGTTGCTTTGGGTTTTGACAAGGAAGACCAAATTCGTCTCTTGTTTTTAAGGTAATCAATACCTATATGGAAACCAAATTCGTCTCTTGTTTTTAAGGTAATCAATACCTATATGGAAAAATTCTGATGTGAAAGAATTTATTGTGCTAAAAAATCAATCCTCCACTGGGAATTAAGGCCTTTTCCATTTATATTGAAATGAAATAAAACAGATGTTTAAGCATACAAGTTGGACATACAAAGCCCAAAACCTTTGGCATTTTAATGGACTATGTTTTAGTCTTTGATGTGCTTTTATTGAAAATTATATGCATGACGTGGTAGACTGAGTTAACCAAACAATTTCTCCTTGTTTATAAAAGAGGTTTCTTTATCTATTTTATATCCTGCAAAGTGTTTTGATGTATTAATGCTCCTCATTTGATTTATATGTTTAAATAGGTAGAATTTTTTGCAATATCAATATCAGAAGAAGGATCGGTTCTCTCAATTTTGTTTCCTGCAAGTGAGCAGATTCTAGGCCATGGAGACTGACATTAGTAATAACCAAGTATTTGGTGAAGAGAAGAAGATGAGTAAATCCCTGAAGAAACTTCTGCTCATAGTGAATGGTGCAATGTTGGCTATAGGCAATTGTGGAGGCCCACTAATACAGCGTCTCTACTTCTTGGAAGGCGGTAAGGCAGTCTGGATATCAAGCTTTCTTCAAACTGCTGGTTGGCCATTGGTCTTATTTCCCCTCATTGTTTCATACATGTATCGTCGAAGCAACAAGGGGTCAAGGACGAAGCTTATCTATATAAGCCCTCGCCTCTTTCTAGCTTGTGCTGTTATAGGTCTTCTTACTGGTTTGGATGATTTTCTTGCTGCATATGGCGTCTCTCTACTTCCTGTCTCTACTTCCGCCCTTATAATCGCCACCCAATTGGGCTTTACTGCTGGATTTGCTTATATTTTGGTCAAGCAAAAGTTCACACCTTTTACTATTAATGCAATTTTTTTGCTGTCAATTGGAGCTGTTGTTTTAGTTATTCATGCTAGTTCGGACCGCCCTGATCATGAAACCACTGAAAAATACTTGTTGGGATTTTTTATGACACTTGGAGCTTCAGCGCTATACGGGTTTGTGCTACCGTTGATCGAGCTGACATATAAGAAAGCAAAGCAGACGATCACCTATACTCTAGTTATGGAGATGCAGATTGTTATATCTTTCTTTGCTACAGGATTCTGCGCTATTGGGATGCTTCTGCATAAGGATTTTGAGGTATCCTCTCTCTTTCTTTCTCTCACACACTGCGCACATGTATACACATCAAATGCTTGCTTAATTTAGCATATTAAAATGTCCAATAATAATCATAGATCCTGTTATTGGCATGTCGATGCAGGCAATTCCAAGAGAGGCAAGTGAGTTTGAGCTTGGCAGAGTAAAATATTATGTGGTGAATGTGTTTACTGCAGTCTTTTGGCAATTATTCTTCATGGGAGCAGTTGGTGTCGTTTTCTGCGGTTCCTCATTGCTTTCTGGTATTATAATTGCTACTCTGCTTCCTGTGACAGAAAGTTTAGGTGTGATGTTCTATCACGAGAAATTCCATTTTGAAAAGGGAATTTCTCTTGTTTTGTCTCTCTGGGGATTCATTTCTTACTTTTATGGTGAACTCCAACAAAACAAGAAAAAGAGTCGGACTTCAGAATTTGAAATGCCTTAAATATGTATTGGAAACAAGGAACAAGTAATTGTATATATTTGTTAACAGTGCAAGACTGAGAAAATTATTGTTATTGCTGTGAGTTACTTTGAAGGTCTGCTAGTTCAACTTAAGTTTTAATCTGCATGGAATTTAGAAGCTGGTGCACAATAAGTATTTCTTCTTTGCATTTTTATCTGATAACTTGATTATGTGAAATATTGCCTGTACTTTATTGTCAATGATCCTTGATTGTTTGCTGCTTAATGCATTACTTTTACTTATATTGGACTGTATAAGTATTATGAGATAGTAAACTACAGATTTTACCTTCAGTAAATTAAGGGTTAAAGAAAATACATTAGGCCTAATAAGCTATACAGTTCTTGCCACCAAACCATCATTATTATTATGGCCACCACACAAAGTGCTATAGGAAAACTATGACCACTCCCAACCCAAGTCATCTTCAACTTGCGAAAGTATGGTTCAGTTCTTGCAATAGAATTTGCAAGCCGAGAAAAGTGTCTATCCTGTATGAATTTCTCCAAAGAGAAAACTTCCCAACTACCATTATTCCAATATGTAAAGAAATAGACTTCTGGTATACGAGCAACCTTTGTATAATCTCCAAGATTTCTGTCAGGATGTAGAGTCATTATTAGTTCTATTGGCATGTTCACAAATTCGAGTACCTGTAGCTTCATAAGATGCTCAATTCCTGATGGAAGTGTCCGCAAAACTTGACAGCTTTGCACAATTAGCTTTTCAAGACAGGGCAGTGCTCCTTGTCTAATAATTATCTCATTCAGTCTATCTAATTTGTTTAGACTCAAGAACTTCATCTTCTTAAACCCATTAGCCTCAAAAACCAACGCTTCTCCATCATAAACCTGTATGAACTCAACATGTAAAAGATTGGGCAAATGTTGTAGAGATAGAAGAGGATTGGTGTTCAAACGACTCCATTTTAGTACCACCTTTTTCAGACTATCTAGTGAAGTAATCCATTCTGGTAGGCTCTCCAATCGTCCTGTTAAGTAAAGTCTTTGAAGAAATTGAGGAGGAGAAGATAACGAATCCAAATCAATAACTTCATTTTCAGTCACTGAAGCAACAGATAATGCGCGAAGATTTGTTAGCTTTTCAATGGAAGAACACAAATCCTTTCCATCTTCTTTCCTTAAGTTTACAATGCCTAACCTTCTCAGTTGATCCAATGTTCCAAGTTCTTTGATGAGATCACTGTCTTGATCATTTGCCTCTAAATAACAAAGCTTTTGTAGTGACTTTAGACTTCTTAGGTAACAATTAGTTGGTAGTTTGAAACCAATTGTATAGTTTGTTTGCAGTTGATCATCAAACTTGGTTTCGAAGCGATACACGAGCAAGTGCCGAAGCTTTTGGAGCTTCAAAACTGTAATAGGCAATTCTGTGACTCGAGAATTCTTCAGATCCAGGGTTTCAAGGTTTTGTAACCTGCCTATGGAGCTTGGGATGGAATTCACCTTAGTATTTCTCAAACTTAGATATTTTAGAAGTAAGAGATTAGTAACTTGGTTTGGAAATTCCTCCATTGGTGTGCCTCCAAGATCTAACACATTAAGCATTCTTAAATGGGTACAAGAAAAATTAAGCAAAGGAGATTCTTCGGGTAAAGAACTAAGCCCCCAAAACAAAAGCAATGAACATAGCCGAGAAGTAAAATGACTTGATTCTATCCTTGCCATAGGGTTGTGTATGGAAAGACGTCGAGCCTTTTCAGGCCACATTATGCTTTCTTGTTTAACTATTGCTGTGAAATCTTGATCTTTTGCTTTAGAAATGATAATCTCACGCAAAAACCCTTGGATACGGCATCTTTTAATCCTTCCATCGCTCGTCGTCTCTACAACTCGGATTAAGCTTCTCCGTATAAGCTCATCAAGGTAGCCTTCTGCAACTTCCTCTAATGTCTTTCCTTCTGTTTCTATTACAAATCCTTCAGCTATCCACAATCGAATTAATCTCATATGCTCAATTGGATATCCTTCAGGAAAAATGCTGAAGTAGAGCAAACAAGATTTGAGATAGTAAGGCAAATAATTGTAACTGAGAGAAAGTATTTTTCTCATACTTGCCAAACTGTCATTGCCTAGTATTTCAGCACCAAGGCTTCGATAAACCATATCCCATTCATCTCTAGTTTTGTCTCTCTTTGCTAGAACCCCACTAATCGCAACAATTGCTAGTGGCAACCCTTCACATCTACCAACAATTTGTTGTGAAACATTCTCCAAATCTTGAGGACAAGAATCGTTTCCAAATGTCTTCTTGCAAAACAAACTCCAAGATTCTTCAGGAGATAATGAACTCAAATTGTAGACTTTATCTGGAGATTCCATGCAACAATTGTAAGCAATTGCATTGTCCTGTGTTGTAAGCAATATCCTGCTACCTTGATTATTGTTTGGAAATGCAAATTTAAAAGCATCCCAAGCATCATGGCTCCAAACATCATCTAACACAATAAGGTATCTTCTTTGTTCAAGGAATTCATTTATTAATATCCTTAGCTCTTGAGCTGTCATGCCATCAACACCAGAAGGACTTGGCTTCCTCAAAAAGAGGAAGAGTTGTCGAACAATTTCTTTAAGGAGACGTCTGGTACTAAAATGTTGAGTAAGAGTGATCCATACACAAAATTTGAAATGTTTTTTCACTCTTGCATCACCGAATACTCGTTTCGCCAAAGTGGTTTTTCCCAAACCTTCCATTCCAACAACTGAAACTACTTCACGACCAGATTTGCTTGCAACGAGCCATCCAATAAGCTTCCCTTTATGTTCTTTGATGCCTAAGAGATTAAAATCTTCTAGTGGAACTGGAAGCGCATCTTGTTGTATGGAACTGCTAGCCGCTGCTCTAGCATTTGATGGCCTTGATGATGTTGTATAACCAGCCATGCTGAAACCTTGACGGGTCTCATTAATCTCTCTTACTCTCTTTTTTATGTCTTGCATTGTTGAGGCAATTTGATAACGAGCTTTTAATGAGAAAATGAAGTGATAAGATTTATTTACACAAGCACATAAGCCATGTCCATGATTATGTGCGAGGTATAAATTGAAATTATCAAGAACATCTTCCATGTCATAAGCGATATCTCTTACTTTCTTGACCCATACTTTGAATATGTCGCCATTGTTTTCTTCCTCCATTATTGCTTCTGCATCTTTCAAGAAAGCTAATGAGAATTCCAAGCCATCTTTGATGAACTTGGCATCTCCATGAACCCCACATAATAGGTTCTTTTGTTCTGCCGTAAAATTTGAAAGCTTATTGAGAAGAAAAGCTACTGCACCTTCCACCATTAATTGGTTGTGTTAACCGATCAAAGGCGATTGAGAGAGGTGCTTGATGATGTGATGATTCTGACTTGTGGTTAGTCTAACTATAAATAGATGTACTCTTTCTGATATCTCTATAAGTGCAATATAGAATTTTTTTCAAATGTTTTTTCTTATGAAACAACTTGCCTAGTTTTGTGCATCGGCCACTCATACATCAATCCATTTAAAAATAAATTTTAATTGCAACAATGAAGTTTTAACCTTTCATAAATTAATATAAGTAAGTCTTATATATGGTAGTCTTATATAATTGGAGTTATGCTCCCACGTTAGTATCCAGCTCAGAAAATATGGTAGAGCACTAAGTCAACGATTATATTGTGGAATCATTCGACGTGTTAGACAACAACGTTATATATATAAAATCAACTTGTTGATGGTTATCTAGAAATTTTCAAATAATATTTGACCCTGACCAGAATTAAGAAATGCACGTCATCATCACCAATACTATTTTTGATTTGTTTATGTGAGCCCATTGGCTAAAGAGGAATTTCCGTGATTAAATCAAACCAAAAAAATTGCTGAATTAACTCTTTTGACTTTTGACTTTTATGATCATGATGGAGGAAGAATAAGCACCACTAACTACTTACGATTCGATATGACTTGACTTTCACTTGTTATAAACTAATTATATGACATACCGTTGTGGCTGGGTTGGCAATTCAGATTGAATATATGGAAAGAGCTCTCGGATTCGCTCTCCACTAAACACACTTGCAGAAAATGTCAAGACTTACTTATATAATGTATGAAAGGTTAAAACTTCATTTTACAAGTTCAGTTTGATTACCTTTAAATTTTTTTCTTCTATTGAGAAGAAATCTGCATTTCTTTCTATATAACTATTCAAATAATAAACGACACTAGATAAAATCACCATAATGATTATAACAATAACTCTAAACTAGATTTAAGAACGAAATCCCAAGAGATGGGCAATAATATAGGGTTTTCAGTTTAGTACATATGCTTTAGGCTCTACAAAAGTCAATACTTGATTTGGAAATTGACAAGTCATGCCCTAATATTTGTTAGTAATAGAGCTATTAATAATAGACAACCATGAAAATCCAAACACATCAAGGTACTCCTTAGAAATAATAAAATTGGGATTTAGAGATTTAGAATAGAAAGATTTAGGGTTTAAATTTTTAGAATTTTAGGGTTTCATTAGAGTTCAAGATATATCATTTAGAATTTAAAGTCTATATATAATAAAATTTTATTATTTTTAATTGTATCCCATCTATCCAAGTGTCACCATATTAAGGTATCCCCTTTTTTTTTTATGAAACAAAAAGGAATTAAAGAAATTACATACATGTAGTAAAAAATGGTTATGCTTGCTTAGCTAGGTTTGGAGAGGCGTATGCTAACAAGCTAAACATTGAACTGAATATAAAATTTAAGATATTCAACTCTTAAATAGTGTTTAATTACTTTGTCAATGATAATAAACAACTCTTTTTTTTTTTTTTTTTTTTTTTTATGAAAAAGATTTAGGGTTTAAAATTTTTTTTAGAATTTTAGGGTTTCATTAGAGTTCAAGAATTATATCATTTTAGAATTTTAAAGTCTATATATTAATAAAAATTTTATTATATTTTAATTATGTATCCCATCTATTCCAAGTGTCAACATATTAAGGAATCCCCTTTTTATCTTTTATTGAAATCCAAAAAAGGGAATTAAAAGAAATTACAATACATGTAGTAAAAAAATGAGTTTATGCTTGCTTAGCTAGGTTTTGGAGAGGACGTCATTGCTAACAAGCTAAACATTGACAAAAAAACACTAAACTGATAATTTAAAAATTTAAGAATAATATCAAACTCTTAAAATTAGGTGTTTAATTTACTTTTGTCAATGCATTAATAAACACTCTTTTTTTTTTTTTTTTTTTTGAGAATAATAAAGAAAGATGACTATATAATTGAAAAAAAACTTCCAGATCAAAACATACATAACCCCATGGGTCAAAATAAACATGTTTTCTTCTTAATTCCTCCCTTCAACATGTCTCAGCACATAAAATTACCTTGAAGCCATAGTTAATAATGGCAGAAGGTTTGAGGTGAACTTATCTTACTATAAGAAGACTAACCCAAGACAAGGCAGAACCTATCGCCCTAGGCGTTCAAGAAGATTGCTAGATTTTCATTTGCGGATGAAGACTTTGAGTTTCAATGAGGCTCTTCATTTAAGAGTTTACAGATTGCAATAAGTGAATCAGGAGAATGACATTTCCTTTCAGGTTATGATCTCAAGAAAGATAAGAGATGTCGTTTATGAACATTTGAAGATGTCTAATTGATATTTAAAGGTGAATTTGTAACATGAGTGCATCTTCATGTGCATAGTTTCTTCTTATTTCTTTCCTTCATAAATAGCCTTGCTGCATCAAAGTGGTACACAAGATTTCACCACCAATGGTTGCGTTCAAGAATGGCTAAGAAAAGAAAAATTAAATCCAGAGTAATAGGATCATCTCAACAAGGAACCACCGGAGGATACTTACATCAAGAAACAAGACATAATAGAGAAAGAGGCTTCGAGTTTCCATAAATGACCAAAACATAGAAACCAGCCCTAGGTACATAGAAGAAGCTCGAAGCTGGTCTAGTAGGAATCTGATTGGGGCACAAAGAATGCCTTTACGAATGAGCCTCATTCACAGGGCAAATCTGATTCGTCAAGTAGTTCTCAGTTAGTTGGAGTAGGAGGTCTGGGGAAGAGCACCTTGAGCGGGAAACTGTCTATGAAGATTGCTCAAGTCAAAAGGGCACTTACAAATTTCAGTGCTTAGGATCAGATGACCTCCCAAAATCCTTCAAGATAGAAGGACCTTTCTAAAGAAACTTTGATCAAGAACTATATCCATGTTGGTAAAAATATCAAAACCTTGTGGAGGTGAAGGCAAAGGATAAAAAATCAAAGCATAACAACCACTAATATCAATCAATTCCTTCGGCAAAAGAAGGTACCTTATTGTCTTGGACGACAAATGATGTGCGATACTATATATACCTTCGATGCTTTTGCTGGTGCTGACCAAAACAAACACCTCTGGCAGACCCCGGAATATTGCTTACAACAGCAAATAGTTATTGGCTACAAGCACGAATTCATTCTGATAAAGTCTTACAATTTGACTCCGCTGTCTCAGAAAAGATCATGGAGTTTTGTTTGCAAGAAATATTTCATTACAATTCTTGCCCTCCACAACTGAAAGAACTTGTCAAGAAAAACTATACCTGAGAGTCGATGTGAAGAGAATATGCCTCTTTGCTATTGTGACAATAAAGTGGATTACTAGCAACAAAGGACAAGAGCAGGATAGACGAATGGGATGATGAATTTCACCGTAGCTGGTGAACGAATTACTAAGAATAAGTGATAAAATGCGAATATGAGAAAATTCTCCTTACTCAAGTTATAGGCATTTGCCCACTT